CATCCCATTCAGCCCTAAAAGCTTCTAGGAATGGAGACTGCACAGCCTCTCTGGGCAGCCTGCTTTAATACTTGGCTATGAATAGCATGCTTTTTTTTCCCGTGACACATGGTAATTTATACTTTCTCCCACTGATTAAAGGCCTTGGTCAGCATGGATAAGACATCTGGCACCGCAGAAAGGTCATCTCTTCTGTCATCATCTAGCTGTACGATAATAAATTCGGTCTCCCAATGATAATTTTAGATTTGCAAATTACCAGAAGTCTTATGATCTATCTCTCTCGTGCTCTACTGGAGTCGCTGCTAAAAAGAAAGTAAGCAGCAAAGCTCTCTGAAATGTTTTAAGCCTAAACAGCGGTAAAATCTTATCTACAATGAATGTCACTTCTGGCTTGTTTCCAAAATAGCATTTTTAGATCACTTGTTATATACTGGAAATTATTTGGTAAGGATTGGCTGGCGAACAGATGAATCAAAGTGACATTTCCATTACCAACAGGAGATCTATCTGTGGTCAGAATTCATGGAGAAGGATGCGGGATGGTTGTAAGCCTATTCATTATGTTTAATATTGTCAGAGAAATGAAATAGCTTCTATTATTCATCTCTCTGGGATGGTAATGTATCTGAATATTAATACAAAAATGGGAATCTGATCAAAACCCACTGACCCAGCAAGACATTGATATGTATTTTAATCACTCTCTTTGGGACGCTGAAAAAAATGTACTCTTCACAATAAATCTGCAAGAAATCAAGATCTTCTGCGTCTCTCAGTGGATATTTGGGTACATCAGTGTATATCCTGTCCTTGTGTCTGAAGTCCTTCCAGGTTTCTGGATCTTGTTTCCCTCCATAGCCCTTCTACTGTCTGTCAGACCCCAATAGGGGTGGGATTCACCTCATAATGAAAAATAACCCCCTGCAGGGACGTATGAACACAAAAAATGGAAAGAGAGCTCCAGAGACGGTTTCACCTTGGCAAGTGGAGATTGTAGGCTAAAAGTGGAAGTTACTGAAGTCAGGTTGTACTGAATTGTGCAAAGGGAGCTAGGTATGTAAATGCACAGAGAGCAGAATGGAGGTGGGATTAATGGTAATGACTGGTACTGCCCGAGAACTGTGACTCATATTTCAGGAAAGATGATGCTGATAATGAATATTAAAGAAGCTGACATTCCCTAGAACTAGTTCTGCTATATTTTAAGGCATAAACCAGAAGGGCTGTTGGAGTTTGCAGAAAGCATTCACATTATGCAGGTGTATTATTACTAACAGAACAAAGGGGTAAGCATGAGGTCATAAAATGTATGATTTAACGACTGAATTTGACTGTAATTATGCATTAGAAATATTCATGAGAAGTCTAAAAAGTGAATGGGCAGTGCGTGATCTGACGGCGGTAAGCGGCCCTCCAAAACAGCGCTGCAGGAACTTTGCCACTTATCTTCTTTATTCACTGATGCAGATGTAAATGAGGTTTCTACACCTTGGTGATCTCTCAGTGCAGTGCTTCTGGAAGAATAAAACTTGGGATTTCGTATTACAGATCTGATCTACGAGTGGCTCGAGTACAGGTTGGTTGCATTATTGTTTAAATGAAGTTTACTGTACTGCAATGGCTTACTTTTTGCAGGGCATCTTTTATAACTTAGTTTCTTTTATAGAATACTGTCTGATAGAGCAATTGGACCTGCTGACCTCCAGACAACCAGGGGCCTAGATTATTTTTCTGATTCTATAAGTAGCATGGGTCAGGAACTTCTGTGTAGCATAACTTATCTGCTGTAGGATCTGTTCTGCCAACTGAACTCTACTGAGCTATAGCATGGTGAATATTAATAGATTGCTTAATTAACTCAATCAATCAGTGCAAATAAAAGATTGCCTAAGGCTGAGAACAGTATTCATGTCCTCGTGGTTCTGACCAGGCTTCTAGGGAAGGACACAGGGGAAGGCAGAGTTTTGGTCTAAGCTGTGTGTGCAGTACTCTCAGGTCCTCAGGCTGCACACAGGGATGAATGCATAACAGTGTGTGCTGCTTGGGTAAGGGTAATACTAATGAATCCCTGAGTCTGGGTATGGCTGGAGAATAGGAAATGTAATGTCTAGAGTTAAGAAAGTACAGAAAAATTATTTGGTTCAGTATTGGCTCTTCAGACTTGGAAGAATGTACTAAATGAAAAAGAATGTTACATAGTTTAATGGAGAAGAGGATGAAGCACAACATGGGTTTACAGACTGATTTCTCCCTGCGTGTCTGATTGCCTTTTCTGTCTCTCTCTCCACAGGCAGAGGTGACAAAATTTTGGAGAGAAGTATTATTCAAACAAAGGACCAAGGTAGGCACAGTGCAGATCAGGATGAGTTGTCCAAAAAGAACAGTGGATGATTATTTTTTAACTCTTGGAGTAATTACACAGTCCTGTTGCTTATCTGTCTGAGTGCAAGGCAGTGAGACCTAAAGTCTTAAGGACTGTAGCAGGACGCTTTTCAGGTGAGGGTATGATGTTAGGAGTGAAAGCCAACAACTGCTTTCATGCCCATACACTTAAGATACTGCTATCTTATTTTTATTGTGCTGGCTCAGTTTTGTTACCCTCCAAAGAGGACTCTTTCTGCAGGTGTAGGCACTCAGCCCTCACCCTTCTGTTGTGTTAGGAGTGGGTGGCCAGAGAGAAAATAAAGGAGATGCTGAAAATTTCATGTGGGAGGATAGCTGTGCTTGTCTCCCCAGAGAGGCCAGGTAAGCACAGCCAGCAAGCATGCCTCTCTCCAGCAAAGCTTAGGCACACCTTGCAAGGAAAGCTTGTGGCTGCTCACCCAGTTTAACTTCCAGACATCAACTGCTTTATCCCAACCCACAGGTTCTTGCACATTTCCCTTTCCAGTTCTTTTCGCCCCTCCCTATGGGATGTGAGAGGTGATGCTCTGTGGCCCAAGCAGTGCTGCTGGTATATTGTTGAAGTAGGCCATGTAGATATTGAGGCCCTGGAACGTGTTCAAAGGAGGGCAACAAAGCTGGTGAGGGGTCTGGAACACAGGCCATGTGAGGAGAGGCTGAAGGAGCTGGGAATGTTCAGCCTGGAGAAGAGGAGGCTCAGGTGAAGCCTTCCGCCTGCAAAGGGCTTCATACAGGTGTTCGCAATCGTTAGGGACTCATCGGTCTGTCCATCTACCTCGGTGCACACCAATGTGGTGGGTGGTAAAATGGCGTTAATTGCAAGGAGCACACCCTTCTTAAAACTTTCCCCATGCCTTAGGGCTACTACCTGACCAATGAACATGTGGAATGTCTTGTTTCTTCCTTATTTGGTCCATCCTGTTCTTCTCCCTTATCTTCAGGCCATTTGTTGCCATGGTTTCCCAGGGGCCGAGGGGCCCCTGTCGACCCTGTTCGACTACACTCAGGGGAGACCTCATTGCTCTCTATAACTTCCTGAACGGAGGTTGTAGTGAGCTGGGGGTCGGCCTCTTCTCTCGTGTCATTAGTGATAGGACCAGGGGGAATGGTTTCAAGCTACGGCAGGGGAGATTCAGGCTGGACATGAGGAAGTATTACTTTTCAGAAAGGGTGGTCAGGCACTGGAATGGACTGCCCAGGGAGGTGGTGGAATCACCGACCCTGGGGGTGTTCAAGGAAAGACTGGATGTTGTGTTGAGGGACATGGTTTAGTGGGAGCTATTGGGAATAGGTGAACGGTTGGACTGGATGAGCTTTTAGGTCATTTCCAACCTTAGTGATTCTGTGATTCTATGATTCTATGAAATAGGATTTGTTTCCGGGTAAGCAATAGCTCCAGACTTAGTTTATGGTCTTGGGGCATGTTAGAGTCCCCATGGTCAAATACAGAGAAGCAGAAAATTAAAGCCACATCTAAAGAAGGGCAGAGGAGGGAGAGCTTGTGTAGTAGGTAGATGCTGCCCAGTTAAATTTGATTTATTCTAAAGGATGGACAAAATGCAGAAAAATGAGCTGGGAATGGTTGGGGCTTCCCTCAGCCACCTATTCTTCCCACCTTCATCAGCTGGGTCAGTGTTGTGAGCAGGCTCACAGTGTGCTTGTGAGGTTTTTGAGGTTCTGAATGGAAGGCCTTGAAGGGTATAGGCTGGGAAGAAGGAATGAAAGGCAGTGTGATGGCAGGGGTACATCTCAGTGGGTGAGCCCAGAGCCACCTTTTCTGTGTGCAACATTTAGTCGTGAGATGGGGCTCTTAGGGCATCCTGTGAAGCCACAGCCTGGAAGGTTGGCAAGAATGCAGAATTATTAGAAGAAAGTAGAAAGCCCTTTGTTCCCCTTGTTTGTTTTAGCAAGGATTTATGGAGGATATGTGCTCCTTCTCCTTCAGTCAAGGCCGTCCAATTCCAATCTGAAACAGCTTTTCCAATACACGATTTTTTGTTCATACGCAGCAGTGAGAGTTAGTGTTGTTATACTGCGTGTTGAGAATTATGAAAGCAGAACTGGACTGCAGTCAAGCTGCTCTTGTTCCCAAGTGTCACTGCCCCTGATCTCACACAAATGTCTACTATTCTCCATAAAACACAAGGTCCTGGGCTTGTGTCACAGGTGCTGGATTGCTATATGGCAAATGGCATGGGCAACCAGCACCAAGTAGGGAAGATACACACCAGAGATGCATCACTGCCATGTGAAGGCAAAGCAGAGTTGTGAACTATTTGCTCAGCACAGTTGTCAGAGTGTGAGAAGTCACAGGCTCCTAGCTTCACCTGTTTTGCTAGTGGATTGTTTTTCTACCATGCATGAACTGACATAGGGACTTTCTGCACACTTTTATATTTTGGCTTTAACCAATTAACTACAGTGGAGACCAGGTTGCTGTGCCTGGGCTTTCTTCCCATGTAACCCCAGGATGCTGCTGCACATGGGAGGTGGTGCTACGTGGCTCATGTTCCATACCAGTATGTATTCAAATGGTGATTGATTTTGATACACAAAGTATTTTTAGACAAAAAAAGAAAAAAGGACAAACACAATTTTCTAACAAGTAATGTCATTTAATGAATGGTGTAGTCTAGAAAATAGAAACTACCCAGATGCTGGTTGGTTGGTAGGTCTGTTTGGGGTTGGGGAGGCCCTTGCTTGAGCACACGATGCCTTGTTTCAATTCTTTTGGCAGCATTTGTAGTTGCTGGAAACAAGGAAACATCCAAATATTGAAAGATAGAAAGAGACTCTAAGGGGGCATTTTTCTCTAAAATGTGGTAAGTATGCAGAATGTCTTCCCACCCTGTCTCATCAGGTGATGTGAAGGGCTCAGAGCTCACCAAGGTGTTACAATGATTCGTTCCTAGAAGGGATAGACTCAACCAGCAGTACACGCCGCAGTCCACTGCTCAAAAGTCATAAGGGACTTCTCACTTTGCAGAAGGTTTTGTGGGCTCTGATGTTATTGCGCTTCTTTCTGGGTGCTTTTCTGCACGTGTTGTGTCTGTTCCCTCAAGGTCTGGCTGCTAATTCCAGGGAATATGCTTTTCAGAATGTCACAATACACTGTGTACAACTCTGGGTCTATTTGGGGCCTGGGCAGAGACCTGGCGTTGCTTGCCTGTTCGGTGGCCGAGTGCTGCAGCAAGTACACGTCACTGAAGAGTGCAGTCAGGATTTTGTGTGCAGCTTTGTAAGGATCTTCCTCAGATTGCACCATTGCCTTGAGCTCTGTCAGGGTGTAGCCGTTGTAGCGCTTGCTGTCTTCTGCCAAGGGCTGCACAGTCTCACCAATGTGTCTCACTTTCCACTTCAAGCATTTCAGTTCATCTTTTACATCTTCTAGTTCTTTCTCCATGGCTTGGAATTCCTCTGTGGTTACAAATCTCCTGCCAAGAGAAGTGGTGGACACAGTGTGGAACTCAGAGGCTCAGTAGGGTGAAATCAGTCTGACTCGCATGGGGCCGGAGTATGGAACCTGAGGTTTGGGATGGGAGGCAGCTACCATGTCACTGATTGCCATCTCCAGCCCTTATTTCTCAGACTTCCTAAGAGCAGTATATTTTCTATGCTGCTGCAGGGGTCGGGGTCCTGATCATGTAATTTAAAATGAGAGGTAATGGCCTCAAATAGCACTAGGGTGAGGTTCAGGTTGGATATAAAGGACAGTTTCTTCTAAGAAACAGCAGTGATGCGCTGGCACTGCTGCCCAGAGAGATGGGGGAGTCGCTGTCCCTGGAGGTACTCCAGAAATGCTGGGATGTGGCACTGAGGGATGTGGTCAGTGAGCATGGTAGGGCGGGCTGGGGTTGGATATGGTGAGCTGAGAAGTCTTTTCCTACCTTAATGATTCTATGGCTCAACTGTAATGATGCTGAGCTGTACTGTGGTCGTTTTGCTTGCTAGGTGGCTGTGATGAATGTGGGGAGAGATGATTTCTCATTTGAAAGGAGACGAGGGCTGCGTTTAAACTGCCCTGTGCAAAGAGCAGGGTGACGACCTGGCTTGGGCATGACCTTCATTCACATCCAGCCAGCTAAATAAATGATTGGAAAATGTTTTTTTTTTTTTTTTTTTTTTTTTTTGCAGGACATTGTGGAAGTATACGGTAATTATAGGGAGAAAAAACAAACAAACAAACATCCAAAACCACAGGAAACATGTAAATATACAAGATATTTAAATTGTTTGATAATCATTTGAGGGCTTAAATGTGTGTAGTCTGGATACATACCTTTCATGATCAGGATCTTCCAGATGTGATTGAAACCCCTTTCCTATAGTTCTTAATCCAGTTTTAAAAGAGCCAGGAGATTGGGAACTATCTTCAGGAGTCGTTGTTGGAGGCCTTGTGCTTTTCCTGGTTGGGGTCAATGTATAATCTGATGCTGAAGCTTCCAAGCTGTGTGCTGTTTGAGGACAGAGGGCATAGAAGGAAGCAGCATTGGTCCCTGGACTGGCCTGAGAGGAGTCCGAGTATTGCCAAGGCTTGGCTGAGCTGGGTGTTAGACTGAGCCTGGGGCTGGCTGGGCAAGATGCTGGAGGAGTCCTTGTACTGAGTTGGCTGGAACATGATATTGCTAAGCTTTTTTTTCTTTGCTCAAATGGTTGAGGGCTTGGTGATTCTCCTGGGGCCAACCTAGAGATGGAAACAATGTCCAGCTGGGCTTGATCCTGAACCGTGGAGATCTGGCATGTTGGTTCTGATGAAAGTGAAGAGCTGCTTGATATGTTGCTAGAAGAGCTTGACATAGCAAATGGGGGTATTTTCTGAGTATTATGGTCACTCCTGTTCCTCTGTGTGCTAGTGACATTTAGAGCTGGGTGTTGTGAAGCCCTGAGGAAAGACAAAAACACACTTTTTCATCTGGACAGGGCTAATCGCTTAGAGCAATTTCAGTTCTATTCTGAGACAATCTTAGGTCTATTTCTCATAACCACGTTTTCCCATAGCCTGATTTGCTTCTCATCTCAGTATAAAATCCTTTGTTTTGGATAACCAATAGTTTTGAGAGTATTTAAGAATAAGGCACATAAATTGAGGACCAGATCCTCCTGGGTGCCAGCTAAGCTATCGTCAGCTATCATCAGTAATCACTGGCACATCAGTGTTCTCCATTTCAAAGTCGTACAGCTCTGTGAGAAGCAAGCATTTGGTATTTGGGAAAGGACAAGGAAGGCAGAAAGTTGCTGGGATGTTGATTGTGACAAATTCTGTAAGAATGCAAGGGGATGAAGCTGGCTTGCAGGTTGCCACATTGCCTGCCCTTGATGATCCTTACAAAGAGTGAAGAGAGGCCTTCACCTTGGTCCTGTGTGCTTTACGCTCCTGCTAGTTGGTTGCCCAGTGAATTACAGGATGAATAAACAGAGAAGATAAAAATAGAAGAACTGCACAGAGTGACATCGTTGTTCCTGTAGTGATGTTATAGGACACTTACAGAGCGCGGAGTGCTAAGAACTTGTCTCTCCACCCTGAACTGTACACTGTATGTCGGGCTTTCAGGTGCTCGAAATGCCAATGGCATGGGATGCCAGACCTCCTCTCCTGAATGTTGTTTCCTGCTCTTCTTTCCTGGCTGCTGTGAAGAAGTCTTTTTTTTTGCTAGTACCAGTGGTCTGAACTGTGTGCTCACTTCTGCCTACACCTTTCTCAGGGTTGGATGCAATTGAACTCCAACTTCTAAGACCCTACAGAGCACACCTCACACCTACTGGCTTCACTAGGGCTACTGAAACAAGACATTTGCTAGATCAGAGCATAATAACAATTTTAAATCAAATTCAGATTTTTTTTGTAACTGGAACAGCAGAGCAACTGGAGCAACTAAATAGAGCAACTAAACAAAAACAGAGCCCCCCAAAAGGCAGAATAATGTGACTTGTATAAAAAGCATGGGAGAAAAATAGACTGCTCATGTCAGGAGAAGCATCCTTCTGCAGAAGTCTTTGCTTTCAAATACTGGCTGAACAGGGGTTGGAAAGATGTTCTCAGTGGGGTCATTAAAGATGCTGAAGACACAAAATGGCAGCAGCTGGGTGGTACAGCAGGATCCTTCCTGCCAGGGCCAGCCCTCATCCAGCACAGCAGAGGAGAAGATGGTGGGAACTCCTGCTGCACATGAGTGCCCATTCAGATGTCAATGGAGAACGTGGCATGCCCGGAACAAGGTGCTGGAGGTGAACTGGCAAAGCTCTGAATGGGCCACAGATGTCAGGAAAAAAAAGAAGCCTTGATGTAGCTGGAAGAAACACGAATCTGGGGAAGCACGGATGTTTTTTGCAGGCTCACTGCTCCCCACCCACCACTGTCCTACCCCTTCATGTATACCCCATGACCTCTTTCCTTGTATAAAATGTTTTCTGGTTGGCTAACAGAGTATTTTTTCTGGGGCTAGCTCCTGCCCACAAGCTGTATATAGCATAAAAGGGCTGGAATCCTTAGTAGAGAAGGCTCAGCCAGCAGCCTAGGGCTGAAATCAGTCCCAGGGTCTTGCCATTACTTAGGCATCATCAATGACATTGTTCCTTTTATCGAAGAAATTACGACTTAGGTAAAATGGAGACATCAGCTTTTCCTGTTCTTGAAATGGGCAGACACTTTAAACAGCTTCAAAACTGCATTCTCCAAAACCAAACCCAGAGAGGAAGGCTTCCCAGCTTCACAGGTGGGTTCCGATGCTTAGTTCCTCCTTTCTACTTGTTGTGTGCCTTTTTTGAGACAGCCCAGGATGTCCCTCTAGGTTCCTTACTCATGTGCAAACACGTTTTACAAGTGCTGTAATAGATAATTCCTAAAAGTGACCACCTTTTACCAATTCTAAAGTTGGGGTTTATTTGCTATCGAAGTTAAAGCATTTTTAGTAGTTGGACTTGCTTGAACAAATTCTCTTCAGGGCAGCGTTAAAGAGAATATATTATTTTTGGCCTTCAGTGTTTGGGTGTTCTGAATAGCTCCATCCTTAAACAACTACCTGAGGATCTGAAATGTCTCAGAAAAGTGAAACCTTTTCAGGTGCTTTTGAAGAACACTGGATTTTTCTATACTGCTCTACTGCTCATTTTCTGACGGGGCTGAAGGAGACATTTCTTCAGATCTCCCAACTTTGGAGTTAATACTTTCATTCTTTATTCATCTGGAAAGGTATCTGCAGCTGAAATGCAGTATGATACACAGCAACTCTGACAATCCTGCGAGTTCAAAGGATAATTCCAGTCATTTTACAGAATAAACTCTAGGACAGGTTTTTCAAATGTGTTGACTCATGGCTTTGATTCGGGTCATTGGCACTTTACTTTCTTCACTACAAAACCCCATGATCAGAAAATACGTTTTTGCTGTGGAAAAGTGAAAGAAACTTATTCTGAAAATAGCAAACGTTTTAAGCCAACTGAGATATGTGGTGCAGCTTTCTTTGTTGTGTATTTGTCCTCAAATATGGTGTAAAACTGTCTGAATATGGACCTTTGCCTACACATTATGAGAAATGCAACACGCACTGTAGTTGAAATACTGTTTGGGTGCCTATATGGTTTGAAGTACTTACTATTATTAGCAGTATTAGGCAGGGCTGATTGGACCTTATGCTTCCCTTCCAACTTGGGATATACTCTGATTTTATCACTGGTTTTTCTTTTGCTTTGTTTCATTTTGGTCTGTTTTTTTTTTTCCTTAAGTCCTGCATTAACTGTAGGAGATGGCATGTTTATGGAAAGATATTTACTAGAGTGATAGAAAGCAAGTTTTGTAACTGATTTCATGGATTTTTCTACAAGAAACTATCTCCTTTCACTGCAGGAAAGAACAGGTATGACAAACTATCCCTTAGTTTTACTTTGACATCCTTCAATTTCCCCTGGCCCAGTGCTGAACACGGGACTGAATTTGCATTTACCATCGTGCTGATCATGGAAACAGAATCATGGCCTAGGAAGAAATCTGAAGTTTGTTATAGCAAAATGTCAGTCTGAATTTTGGCGGAGGCAAATGAAGACACAACTGAGACCTCTTACTTGGAGCTTCCTGGTGCACACGGGTTTGTCTGAAGACAGGAGTGAAATCCCCTTTGCTTTCAGCGTAGCAAGCCCAAATCATAGCTCTATAACCACAGTGCTTTATCAGAGGGGATTTTTTTTCATGTAGTGAATCACTATGAACTGAATAAATTACAGGAACAATTGCAGGACTCAGAGCTGAAATCAATGCTGACATGAAATAGGAGGGTGATTGCAGCTGTCATGTGCCTCCACAAGGATAATCCTTGACTCAACTTTGAGCAACATTTCAAACGCATCAAGCCCTTGTTGTCTGCCTTCTCCCAGCCTTGTGCTGCTCAGCATATCAAGCATGTTCCCTGTTGTTAGAGTGACCTTGCCTGCCGTCTGTGCCTTGCCCTCTCCAGCTGAGCTTGTGCAATGCACTTTTTGCAGCACTGAATTTGGAAATGTACCGAAGTTTCCTGCAAACCCAGCACTATCTTCCTCCTGTGGCTCCTGCAACTAAGAAAAAGCAACAGATTTTTGTGAATCATTTCCACCATATTTTAAATTTAGAGTTGTGGTAGCCTTATTTAATTAGAAAAAAAAAACCCCAAAACGCTGTTTTATGGTGAAGCTGGTTGTGCAAAGCTAATTGTAGACAGGCAGGGGTGGGAGGATGGTAGAAGAGCTGTGGGGTGGACCCTGGGAACATGCCTGCAGGGTGGACCCTGGGAACATGCCTGCAGGGTGGTGGTAGGAGAACAAACTGCTTTTTTTCAAGGCCTTCTATCAGTCAGGTGACCCTCTTAAAAACGCCCACACTGCCAAAACAGTGACTAGATTGTATTTTTTTAATGCCAATTTGATTTTTGAACAGGCTTTCAGTTTTCTACAAGAAAAGGTACTGTTCTGGGCCCTGGGTTAATCTGCCTCAAATAACAACCAAGGCTTTCAATCACAAACAGTGAGCAGTAAAATGGAAAATATTCTCCCTCCTGCTAAGCTCGTGGCTTTTCTGAGCTACCTGACTCTTCTCCAGCTCTGCCAGCACACAGACCCCCTCCTTGTTCTCTGTGACATTTCTCCTGCCTCTTCCTGTTCCATGTCCTACCTCTGCTCTCTGTACCTCGCCTGCCTTTCCTGCAGACCCTGAGCAGCAGGCTTGTTGTTTTAATGCCCAGCGATTTCGGGGGAGGCTGAAGGAGAGAGTGGAAGTGGAGTGAACATAGAGATGTCATAAATCAGATACAGGGGATGCCTGGAGTGTAATAACTGAGCATTTTTTGGTGACGACTGCAGGACAACAACAAAATATTCTGATTTCTTTTTTGTATAGTGACTGTGCATCTGACAGGGAAAGTTGGGGCTTGGAAGGTCCAAATGGACAGCAAATAGGCGACTAAGAGCGTATGGACGTTTGCAGTAGAAAGAGTAAGTCTGTTATGAGCAAGATATGACTGGGGATACTTAGATGAGTAAGTGCCAGCGCTGAATGTTTGCAGAGGAAGCAGATCTGGGAAGAACAGAGGATACCAGCTTACGGATCAACTCCCCAGCACTGTTCTTAGCCCAGCTCTGGAAAGCTTAAACCCTGTTAAGGGAAACTTACAGTGTAGTGCTGGACATTACATGGTTTAATGTGTCGTTTTCAAGACTGGCTATTGCACTACCCTGATCAAGGCTTCTCTGAGCTTCTGAGAGATGAATAGCTGATGGCCACTTTCCCAAACTTCCAGCCCCACCGGCAGGGCAGCCTGAGCTCTTGCTGCAGCCTGGGCTGCCAGAAGCCCTTTGTGCTACTGCACTGCTCATGGGCTGCTCTCAGCCCTTAATACTTCTCTTCTGAAGTTTCCTGTC